GCGGGAGGACATGAAGCAGAGTGAGTGCTCTCAGGAGGATTAGCAGTGAACAGGAGTCAATGCATTGGCCAGAATCATGGATAGGGACTGGATGTGAACAGACTAGGAAGTTCACGGGTACACTGGTTACTCTTTCCCATGAGCTATTTGGAGCTCACAGTCTAGCAATAATGCTAATACAGCCTGGGACAGAAATTGCTATTTTGTTAGTGTTAATTGATTGTTATAGTACTGGCTGATATAACCTTGACTATTTTACCTAAATTAAAACTTTAAAAAAATTATTGGTCATTAATTATAATACATTTTCCTTTCACACTTCCTCTGAGTTCCCAGCATTGAAGGAGCAGAGGTGCTCTAGAAGGAGACAATCTTTCTTGTATCATCAACTTTAATAAAACAGGAAACATTTCTCTCCAAATTTTATCATTGTGTCACTACTCTGTAGTTATCTACCGCATAGCTCAAGACAGAAATTGAATTATTTCATTTTTATTAGAGATAACTTATTTTAGCATGTTGTCTTAATTCGGAGATTACTCAAGGCGGTTGCAAATAATTTCTACTGAAATAAAATGCTCTGGCATATGTAAGAATTATAAAACTGGTTGAAATCTTTTACTCTCTTGGATACTCTAAGCCAAATTAATTGATCTTTTTAGGTGGAACAATTCAACTTTCCATATTATCACTCATCTTTTCTAGAACATCATCTTTATTTACTTATTTATTTATTATTTTTGAGATGGCATCTCACTCTGTAACCCAGGCTGGAGTGCAGTGACATGATCTCCGTTCACTGCAAGCTCCGCATCCTGGGTTCATGCCATTCTCCTGCCTCAGCCTCCCAAGTACCTGGGACTACAGGTACCCGCCACTGTGCCCAGCTAAGTTTTTGTATTTTTAGTAGAGACAGGGTTTCATTGTGTTAGCCAGAATGGTCTAGATCTCCTGACCTTGTGATCCACTTGCCTCGGCCTCCCAAAGTGCTGGGATTACAGGCATGAGCCACCGTGCCTGGCCTTCATCTTTATTTTTAACTAAGACATATTATATATTCTTCACACAAAAACTTCTGTGATGCTGTGTGCCTTCAGGAGATAAGATAGCAAATTAGTACTATCCCAGAACAATTTCTGCTTTACTAAGCCGTCAAACAGTAATATATTGGAATGTCAGTCAGGACTTACTGATTTATTAATTCCATTTCCCCTCAAAAAATCAAGGAAGAGTAATTTTCAAACATTTATTAGGTTCATGCTATTTGAGTCTCTTCTTTGTTTTATATGTACAGAAGTTTTAATATATCTACAATTAAGTCTATCAATCTCCAATTATGATTTGTGCCTTCAATGTCATGTTAGACAAGGTTATGAAATTATTTGGCATTCTATTTTCCTCCAGTTATGTCTCAGTCGTTGTTCTGCTTTTATCAATCTGACAAGTATTTGTATATTGTATAAATAAAATATCCAAATTTACATGTTTTCCTAATATTAACTAATTATTGTTGTTGTGCTTTTTGAAGAGTCACTACTTTCTCCATCAACATAAAGCGTGGTTTTTCTTATGCATTACTTTTAGATGTGCTTTGATCTGTTTGGGATTTTCTCAAACTGACTTGGCTTCTCTAAGTTTCTATGTTAGTAAATAGTACCACACAGTTTTAATAATTGTAACTTTTTAATAAGCTTTAATACTGGGAAATAGCAAGTTTCATCTTTCTTCTTTTTTCAAAAATGTACCTTTTCCAGACTGTCCATGCTTCCAGATGAATTTTAATAATCATTTTGCCAAGCTCTCTCCCAAATCCTTTTTGGGATTTTAAATAAAATTGTACTGACTTTATAAATTAATTTGAGGAAGCTAATATCTGTTCAACATCTATTATTCTCATCCAAGAATATAATATAAACCTTCATTACTGCTAATTTTTCTTTCTGCGTAACACACTTAACAGCCAATTGTTTATCTTGTATTTCTCTATAGATGTTATTTTCTTAATTTAAGTCTTGTACATTTCTTTAACAGTTTATTCATAGCTATATAATATTTAATTGGTATGATGAGTTTTTTGAATGTTTTTTATTTGCTGCTATCATAGAAAAACAACTGATTTTTACACATTTATCTTTTGTAGGGTTACTTAACAAAGTTCATTACCCTAATGGTTCTTCAGTTAATTTTCTTGGGATTTTTAGTAAAATATATATTTTTAGCAAAAAAGGATGTAACCTTTTTTATAATAATTATCACCTTTGAGAGGCAGCATAACATGGCATTTATGATTAAAGACTCATGGGTCAAACGATATGAGTTTTAATTCAGCTCTACTACTTACTAGCTTCATGACCTTGGCCTTGTTACTTAGCATCTCTTGGCCTCAGCTTCTCAATTTGTAAAATAGAATGATAATAGTCCATATCTCCTAGGATTGTTGTGAGGATTAAATGAGTTAATATTTTTAAAGCATTTAGAACAGTTCCTAGCATATATAGGAAAAATGTAGAAAATATTAGTCTTTTAAAACATTTATTGCATTGGTTAAAATTTGTTAAATGGTATTAACTATAAGTGATGAAATTGGTCATGTAGTAAGCTACTAGGGCTTTTCTGCTTTGTTGAAATCACTTTTTTGTATTTTAATGACATCTCTCTATTCCTAAATTACTACGTTATATGTATGTGTATTTTCTTAAAAGAAATATGGTTGCATTTTTATCAAAGGTCATTTGAAATCTATTTAGAAGTTAAAATAGGGGTTTTATTCTTTGGTCTAAGATTATGAAATCACTTTAATAAGTTTCCTGATACTGAACCACTTTCACATACCTAGAATAAACACCATGTGTTGTATTATTCTATTTTATTGATATCTACATTCTTTAGCTAGTATTTCAATGAATTTTTATGATTTTCTTTTCTGTGATACTTTTATTAGTTTTGGTTTTTTTCTTTTACTTTTTTAGTATTGTGCTTCTTAATAAATAAATCAGAAAAATGTTTTCTCTTTCAAAGAATTCATAGAGTATAGGGATAATTTGTTCCTTAAGAGTGTGTATTTCTAGTAACTGATTATAAATAGCTGATAAAAATAAGATACTATAGTCATTTAAACATAGTGCTTTACCTCCCACCAAACATTTCTATTCAAGCTGGTCAAGGACATAGGCTTATGCGTCCGACAAAATTAGGCTCAAGTCCTAACTCACCACCCACTTGCTAAATGTGTGCATTTGGCAAGGTATGCTTGTATCACAAGAAATAACCATGCCTCCTTACCTTCCTCATAGAGTTATTGTGAGAATTAAATAAGATTATGCTTATAAATCACTGTATACTCAGCCCACAATATAGACCTAATAAATTATTTTATATATTAGTTTTAATTTTCCTTAAGTATAAAATTAATTTGTATGTATAATTCTACTTATTTTGTTCTCATACGGAGATTCTAGTGGTTTATGTAGAAACATAAATGGTTTGGGTAAAATTATTTGTGTGAAATTAGTTTATAATAAAAGTAGATTTTAATTAGGACATGTTATTCTTAAATTTATTTTTAGACATGTTGACATAAATTTAAATTTTCACATCAAAGTGAAAATGCTCTGGTGAGCCATAGAAATGAACCTATTGTCAATGTTTAAACGAAATCACGGAGGGTTAATAGGAAAGTTGTACACTAGTTTTAAGAAGACTAGGCAATGAGCCTAAACCAAACATAATGTCTTCCACTCCTTCCTGCTCCTCTGGAGTTGTGTTCTAGTAGGAATCTGAGAGGGGGAGAAGAACTTTGGAGCCTCCCCTCAGGCTGCAGCTGACCTTGGGTTCTCTTGCTCTGTCACCTAAGCTGCAGTGGAGAAGCAAGGTTCTCACTCTGGGTAGGAGAATGTAGCACTAAGGGATCCAGGTGCCCTCAAACACAAGTTTTACCAAACTGATAACATTTATATATTTATTTTTTATTTATTTATTTATTTTTGTTATACTTTAAGTTCTGGGATACATGTACAGAATGTGCAGGTTTGTTACATAGGTATACATGTGCCATGGTGGTTTGCTGCACCCATCAACCCGCCATCTACATTAGGTATTTCTCCTAATGTCATCCCTCCCCTTGCCCCACACCCCCTGACAGGCCCTGGTGTGTGATATTCCCCTCTGTGTCCATGTGTTGTCAGTGTTCAACCCCTACTTATGAGTGAGAACATGCGGTATTTGGTTTTCTGTTCCTGTGTTACAAACTGATAACATTTTTATGAAATACTAATAAGACTGCAATATGAATGTGGCCTCAGTTTTCAAAGGATGCACTACTGATGTAGGCAAATATGAGTATATACAGATATCTGTCCTAGATAGATAGGTGATAGATTGATAGATACATAGATACATAGATACATAGATACATAGATACATAGAAGATATATAGGACAGATATCTGTGAGATACCAGCACACAAAAACCTGTCTCTGAAACAAGTATTAACTTGAGGTTTAGTCATCAAGAATATTTAATTGTATGTACTAATTATAATTCTATCACTATGGTCTCTGAGGAGAGTAGTAACAAGAAAAGCAGTCAGTTTATAAGATCTGATAGGCAGTATGAATTTCTCTTCTATTTTAAAGACTATAAATTTCAAAATATCATTCTGATGGGCGAGCCGCCTCTACGAGAACCATTTAAATAGGCACAGCTAAGAGTGGAAATATCAAACCAAGCTCAGCCTCTACTAATCACTTATCCTTGGTAGACACGAGTTGAAAATGTGTATCTCAAGGTCCCAGTATGTATTGTTTGCTATTAATTAGAAATTAACAGTATATTCTATCAACCTTATATTAAACGACATTGTTTTCTTAAATGAAGATATCCCACCTTACATTTTCTTTGCTGTCATCTGGCTTTATAGCAACAAATATATTTTTAGGAACATGTTCAATAAATATATTATTCCATATGTTCCAAGATCAATGGAACAAAAATGTACTTACTCCTATCTTTCCTGTCCCTGGCACAGGGTTTCCTGCTTCTCCCAGAGTTCTCTTGATCGAGTGTCTTTTCAGTATAGCATGACTCCTGAAGGAAACAAAGGCAGGAAAAGATTTATTAAGATAAACATCTCTAGTTTCTTGTCTGTTGCAAAAAAGAACAAGTTGTTCCTTAGACAAAAACATCTAATTTAGTGACCAAATGTCACATGTTTTAAAAACAACATTCATTGTCTTTTTTATTCCTTTCCCCAAATTGTTTTATTCAGTTTCTCTGATAGTAAGAGCAGGACAAATTTTCTTGAGTAAGCAGCTCCATACACCCAGATAAATAAGGAATATATTTCTTTGTATTATTGTGTTCACCATTCAAACACATCAATTGTATTCTGAGCAGTCTTTCTGGTGTTTTGCTCTAAAACTGTGTAACATGAACAGTCAGAGACATTCTTACTGAATAGTAAAATCAACAAGAAAGCAAGATTTTTTTTTATATTTTCAAATTTCCATTGAAAATAGATTCACTAGGTGAATGATAGCCTTTCTCAAATGTGTGATTTAAAAAGCAATCTATGCCTGCAACCGTTCACCTTTGAATTTAAATACCAAGGAGCAAGGACATTGTTTTCCTAATCACAAGATCTAGTGATTGGAATTGATGGAGAGAAATGAATCCAATAAAATCCAGTCTATGCATAATGCCTCACCATCAAGAGGCAATATAACATTTTGCTATGAATAGGTAGCAAATTCACTTGAATTTTTTTTCTGATCATATTCTTTTAGGTACTTATATGTAAAAAAGTCACCATTTAAAAACTGGTTATTAGCTTGAAATAGCTGGAAAACAACCGAGTTATTTTCATTTACATATATACTTCTGTGGAGGTGGTCACAGTTGATCACTGGGTTAACCAGATGCCCTTTCACTCAGGCAGTCTACATATTTGAGCAGACACATAGTAAATGCTTAGATGTTAAAAATGAATGAGCCATGTCTCTTTCATTTTATGAAGATCATCTGTTTCTTTTTCTAAATGTGGGACCAATAATGTCAACATTCCTCTGTTTGTATACTAGGGTTATTCAGAGCAGGGAAGAGTCTAGTTTCATATTATGTATTCAAGGATCAATGTTGTCTGCTGTCTTTTCTTCCCTACTCCTTTCTAATAAACCATCAAATTCTATCTATTCCAGGTTCTTAATGTTCTTCATGTCACTCTTCCTTCCAATTCCATTTGCATGGGCAAATCTAGTTCAACTCTCCCCAGTCATAGCTTCTTCCATGCCACCCATTCTTCCAGGGGTTATGACATCTCTCACTTGTCTTCCTGGCCTGAGTCATTCCCCTTCCAATCCATTCTCCACACACCTTTCACACTGGGACAGGAACTGAACTTCCAATTTGTATAAAACCCAAGAACTATATGTGGTGGAGATATTTCACTATGATTCTCAAATAAAGTATCTTTTTCCCCAAATGTCAACATCATTATATTAGCCACTCTTAGTTTTCAAATAGTTTGATTACTCTCTCCTTTACTTCTCACATAGTTTACAAATACACCAGCAAAAGAATGTCGTAAAGACATTGAAACATAAAGACAGAAGAACTGAACTCAGTTCTAGTAGTTCTAGTTTCAACTCATCTATTTATCAGCTGTTGATTTTGAGTGGTCATCTCCTTTCCTGGAGGTGAATGGCAGACCTTTGCTCACCAAATGGCACAATAATATTAATCCTATCTGTCTCTCCAGGTTGTTCTGAGATTTAAGGAAGTTCACATACAATGAAATTCCAAATATACGGTTATTACGCTCCCTGAAGATCTGCAAAAGTATAAACTTGCTTGTTTTGTTTAACACTAAATTCAGATTGGGACCCAAGAGGTATCTGTGATCACACTCTTAAGTCTTACAGCTTTCTTTTGGAAAGAAGTTTGTTTTGGCTTCCCCTACACCCCCCAAAAAAGAGCACCAAAGGAATTAAACTGTAATACACTTTGATGTCAAAGACACTCTGAATCTAAAAGAGTGGGAAAAAGGAAAGGGAGCTCAAAACAGTGACAAATCTCAATTGTCTGAACCTGCCATTTAATTAAAATAACTCAACTGCCATATGTAGCACAGATATTAATGCCATCTTCTTCAAACTCTGCTAATATCTCCAGACATTACTGGACACTAATAGAAAATATGTCCCTATTCTCTGTCATTGTGTTGTAGAGTTTTAAATGAAAGAAATGTAGAGTGTGTGCAATAGGATGTTTGTTTGTTCTGTTTCCAAAGAGGAAATAAAAGATATTAACCAAATATTCCTTAATATATAATTAGCACTGTGACCTCAGCTCAAGGAAGTCTTTATTTTAGCCATAAAAATGACAAAAAATGCTGCTAATCCATGTTTTCCTCTCCTTCAACCCCTGATTTCTCATGAGCATCCCATCCTACTGGTTTCCAGGTAACTTTTATATGGGCTTTTGGATGAGCATTGGTTGCAAATGCTTTTGAAAGATACTGATTATCCTACTTAACCTCTTTACTGTTTTAGATCACTGGGTAATTAGCCAAATAGGGCACTGAGGATCATAAACTGAAAAGAAACAGATATAGCATATCTGTGCAGTATTGATTTCATCAGGTAAATGGATCGAAAATGGTAATTTTAATAGTGCTTTTAAAAATTATTGTTAAAAATCAAACACAATTCATCTTAATCATTTTAAGCATATAGTTCAGTATTCTTCATCATATTCATATTGTTATACAACCAATATCCGCAAGTTCTTTGTCTTGCAAAACTGAAACTTCATACCCGTTAAGCTACCACCTCCATTTCTCTTTCCAAAACCCCTGATAACCATCATCTTACTGTCTGTTTATATAAATTTTACTATCTAGATAGTTTTATAAGTGGAATCATATAGTATTTGTCTTTTTGTGACTAGCTCATTTCACTCAGCATAATGTTCTCAAAGTTTATCTGTGTGGCAACGTGTGTCAGAATTTCTTTCCCTTTTAGGCTGAATAAAGCCTTAAATAAAAATACTCCAATGTATATACCACATTTTGTTTATGTGAATAAAGCCTTAAATTAAAATACTGTAATGTGCATACCATATTTTGTTTATGTGTTCATCCATCAATGGACACTTGAGTTACTTTCACCTTTTGGATATTGTAAATAATGTTACTATGAACATGGGTGTACCAATATCCCCTCAATACCCTGCTTTCAAATCTTCTGGACGTATACACAGAAGTGGAATTGCTGGGTCCTACGGTAATAGTATTTCTTTTTAACGTAATTGTTTACAATAGTTTTGATTTACAAAAAATTGAAGATAATACAGAAAGCTCCTCTAGTGTTCCATACCCAGTTTCCCCTATTATTAGTATCTTACATTAGTATGGTACATTTATTACAATTAATGAACTAATACTGATATGCTATTGTCAACTAAATCCCATACTTCCTATCTCTTTAGTTTTTATCTAATGCCCCCATGGTATTTCAGAGTGTCATTTAGGATACCGTATTACATTTAGTTATCATGTTTCCTCTTTGCTGTGACATTTTCTTAGACTTTCCTTGTTTTTAATGACCTTAATAGTTTGACAGATATTTTGTAGAATGTCTTTCAATTGGGATTTGCCTGGTGTTTTTCTCACGATTAGACTGTGGCTATGGGATTTTGGGAGGAAGACCACATAGGAAAAGTGCCATTTTCATCACATCATATCAAGGGTCTGTAAAATCAGTGCGGCATCACTACCGATGCTGACCTTGATGAGATAGTGTTTGTCAGGTTTTCCCGCTGAAAAGTTAGTCTGCCTCTTGCTGCTTTCCACAGTATTTTTGGGAAAGAAGTCACTATGTGTAGCCCACAATTAAGAAGAAAGGAGTTATTTTCTACCTCCTTGAGGATATTGTATCTACATAAATTATTTGGAATTCTTCCACACAGGAGATTTATCTCTTCTTCTCATTTATTTATGTATTCAATTATTTATTCATAATTATATGAACTCGTGGGGGATATTATATTTTATACGTTGGATTATAATCCAATAGTACTTTATTATGCTCTGCTAATTGTTCCAGATTGGGTCATCATTAGCTCTTTCAGTTGGCTCCTGTAGTATTTTTCCTGTTAATGCAATGCATATTGCATTATGTATCACAACTCAATATTTCAGCCTTGACATCTAGCATATAGCTCTATCTGGGTAATACAGCTGAGAAAAGGCTTATTCAAGTACAATGAAAGCCAGAGAGTATTATGAAGCAGGTGTAATGGACATTGAGGTGTGCCACCAGATGCCCCCTTCAAGACTGAACTATTCATTTCCCCAGCTGATTATCAGTGGCTGATGGCCCTCAACAGAAACCTTCCAATTATGAGTTGCTGTAGGGCATAAAGAACCTGCACTGAGCCCTCATTTGGCCTGATTCTGAGGCCACATCCCAGCTGCTGAGTTCCCCATGGAATCAGCTTTCCCCTCTACCCAGGAATGTTTCCTGTATACACAAACAACACTAGGTAACCTCAAGTAAGGGAGATAAGGTGAAAGTCAGTATATTGAACAAAAGCAACTGGAAAGAAATTGGTTACAGAGAGGAGAGAATTTAAATTGTGAAAAATGTAGCGAGTCAGGTCAGGCTAGGTTATAAGGAATCCTGAAAGCCAGGCAAAAAGTTTAAGATTGAATTAGTAGCAATAAGTCTAACTAGGGGTGCAGTCCAATAAAGTATGATGTAGCCATATGAAGAAATAGTATCTAGCTATAAGAAACCAGAAATTGTAGCTAACATGTAGTCTAGCTATTAATGTGCAGGGCATACTTTGTATGCACTTATGTCATTAAATCTTCATTACAACTATTAAGATCTCAATTTTGCAAATGACAAAACTGAAGCTCAAAAATATTCACTACCTTACCCAAGATCACATAGCTAAGAAGCCCACTGGAGAGATTCAGACTTTGCTCTGTATTACTCTTTAAGTAATGCTATTCTACTCACCATGTCTTAAAGAATATGTAATCATAAGACATGGCAAATATTTCATAAATGTTAAATGAAAGA